TGGTGTATTAGGTTACTTCTCCCTAAAGCTTTTTGCTTTGCTGCAGAATATAGTGCTCTACGGGAAGCTGTAAATTGTCTCTCAAATTGGCTGAGGAGTATCAGTGCCAGGACGGCTCTGTGCCCACTCGGGTTAATCGTGCTGAGAGCCCCATGCTAACCTGTCGGTTCTGCCCTCTGGTGTTCAGTGCTGTAACGCTGCATGGGGGTGCATGCATGCACCAACTATTTCGGAGGTAGCTGTGTGTTTCTAACACTTTGTATCTCCTGGATGTAGACATTACTAACTGTCTCCTCTAACTGGTGCCTAATTAACCAGTGTTGTGTTAATTGACCAGTGCTGTGTTTTCCCCATGTGACTGTCTCCATCTTTACATGTCTAAATCTGTCCAGTCGATCATATGGCGTTACTCTGTTAACTGTCTAAACAAATGYAGTTTTTAATGGCTCTGTTGTGTGAAAAGTCATGTTTACACATTTAAACTTCTGCCCTCCTATTAGTAGTTTCTGCAGACAAATACAGGAATTAGACTGCTATTCAAAAATCAATACAAAGAAGACACAAAGGGAACACAATTGGGTTGTTCTCAGTGGATATTTATGAGAGGAAAGGATTGRTCATCAAGACTATATATTATACAACATACTTGTTTATATCTAGCTTCAATTGCCCCTTCTGAATAATATGCATGCTGATTAAAAAGGAGAGCAATCTGGATGAATTCTCTTGTTACCAATTTTCTGAGAAAATTAACCAAACAAATAAAAACAATTACATCAGGAGTTAAGATGGCCCTGCAAGTAGCACTTTGCTGGAGATAGCCAGCCATGCCAAMGGATTAATATAAATTCCTTTTGATAAATCAATCACACTCCAAGCAATATCAATAGAACATGCTAAGTTAATTCCAAGTACCATTTCAATTACAAATTATAAATTTCTCTTCTGCAGGGAACCTGCTCCATCAGAGTGCCACTAAGTCATATCCATCTGCAGACAAGCTCATTTCCCTGTCTTCTGATATTTACTATCATATTTTTCAGAGGCATATATATTCYTGAACCTTCCACAAAGGACAGAAATGAATACCACCAGCATAGAACAGCAATTCCAGTTCAGCCAARGTAGATCAAACTTGAAAAAATTCTATATGTATGAAATAAAAGAGTATGGTGCATCCTTATTTCATCTTCATCAAAGTATCAACTCTTGCTGAATAAAGCAAAGTAAAACCTGCATAGTTGCCATCAATTATTCTGTTATATTCTGAACCCATTTTGAATTGCTTAGAGTGCTGGAGGAATTAAAACCTGAGGTCTTTCATGGGTGCTTCCCACATGAAGCGCAGCGCGCACATTATGTCATTCTGTTATACCAGTGAACCTTTATTCAGTGAAGCCTTGTAGATAGATTTCTTCCATCCTTACTGTCTTGTGGAAACTAGGGCCCAGCATGTATCTTATCCCTTTTAGCTATTTATACCTAGGCAAACTGTCAATTCTGAAATATAACAGCTGAGAAATCTGGGTTAATGAGACTTTATTTCCAGAATTTACTTCGAAAACTTTTTTATAAAAGGTGTTCAGATGTTTCTAGGAATAAAAAGAATATGTTTTGCCTAGCAGAACTGACCAGCTYGTAGGTAAACCATGCAGATCTGGCCAAATGAGTCTCTGCCAAGAATTGCCAGGCACACAACCTCCTTGTGGTCTTTATCTTGCTCGATCTTGTTTCTGAATCCATGAATTTGGAATTATGATTCAGTGCAAGAATATTTAGCGCAGTACCAATGTGGGCTCACTAGTAAATTTTAGACGGCTATGCTTTGTACCAAGGAGCATTCTCTTCCAGCCCTGGGGAAAGTGCCTCTGTATTCACCATGTCTTTGTTGCTGGAACTATTGCAGCCTGATGGGGGATTCGGTCTTAGCAAAAGCTGGATCTAGTCTGGATGAGGTCATGGAAGAAAAGAGATTTGGACAAAGACCTTGGAGCTGGGACTAGATCTAGAAGAGGAGGAGAAACAGCCACACAAGGTCAGGGCAAGCAGAGGATGAGGACTGCTRCAGTGAATACCAGTCTGAAAATGACTGATTCTGTGTCTGCTAGAACCAGAGCACTCCTACATGATGTCAGGAGCATTACTTGAACTACAGGTGGCCACTGAGTGCTCTTTTTACACTTGATGTTTGGTTTGCGAGCCTGGGGTCTGATTTGTAGAAGTACTTAGCATTCACAGCTGCATCTGAAGTCAAAGGGAGCTATGCTTCAAACATACAAAGCACAGTGTCATGCTATTTCACCAAGGCAAACCCCAGTCATCTCAAGGCTGGCAACCAAAATTAATAGGCATATTTAACCTTAATCTCTCTGTCTCATTTCCCAATAGTAAAATGTTGATATTCCCTACATCTCATGGACATAATGCATAAGCATTCATCATATGCTCAAGGTACTGTAACAATGAATGCTGTAGAAAATCCCACTCCAATGTCAATAATTCCACATTGCAAGCAGGATTAAACAGCTTTAAACAAAGCCCGAGGACATATGCTGAACAAAGAGATTAGACGTAAACTGAAAGGCTGCACTTTCAGCGAACAGTGGCTCTCCCATGCATGTACAAGGCAGTGGTCCTCTGAGTAAAACAATATCATCACACAATTAAAGACTAAATTGCAAGTCATACCCTCTACAAATCAAAACAAGTTTGTCTGAAAACCCTTACCTTTGGCTTATCCTAAAGTGTCAACACTTGGCTTTTAAACCATAATATTCCTTTAATGTGGGGATTGTGTTTTGAATTCTTTGGGGTGTTTTGTGTGAATGGAACGTAATAATTTAGGATATGTATCTATTTTTTTTAAAACTGCTTCATGCTGTGCATACAAAATCATACTGAATTTATCAAAGCAGGCGAGTAACAGGGGAATTAAAAATAGGAAAACAGTTGCATTGTATCAAGCTGTAGCACGAAGTGAATTGTATTTATTTTCCTGCACTTTGCCCTAGCTAGACATTGTAATAATTGACCATTGTAATATTGACCATTCATATATATGAAAGTAAATAATTTTACGGCTAATTTAYACATTTAAACACATTTCAACAACAAAGATTTCTATTTCTTCTTCCTCCCAAGAAATTTCTTTTAACCCATTGGTGCTTAGAAATATGGCAAGAATTCTCCACAGTGCAACCTTCCCACTTAAATTTTGCTCCATTGATTGGCCTTCTTTTTTTTTTTTTTTTTTTTTTTTTTAACCTCTGCCTAGAGATCAAAGACATTCTTTGCAACAAGAAAAATAAAAATGTATTGATTCAACTTACAGGTGTTGTCTCTCTTCTCATCAAAGCACCCATTTCAAACTTTCAGTGTAAATCCTTATCTGTTTTTATCTGCAACAGCAACTAGTACTATTAACAAAATCTGCAGTGYTGTCATCCAAACAAGACAGTAGATATTGAAGTATTCAAAAGAAGATAAAACATTAAAACATTAATGGAAGCAGAGCATGGTAAGTAAGACCCCAGTACTTCCTAAGTGTTTCAAATTAACACTCAAGAGAATTAAGTGTTAGCTTAAYCGTGCAATTAGAGTTACAAGTTTATCTGGTGAAAGGTGGTAGCTATCTCTATTTCAAGTGAACTGAGGCCCTAAAGTTTTAGCCCAAAGTTGACTTATTTTTTTTGTATCCTGTTACTTTTTCTTTTTCTGAAATGATGTTTCATACCTAACTTTGCCTTTGCTACAGGTTTTGTGTAAGACTGTGGAGGATCTGTGCATTGATRTTGTAGAACTGTGTAACTAAAACCAGGAGATGCCTCTCCAAACTAAGAGGGTCTGGTTTTGCAGGCAGTATGTGAGTATTTTTTATCAAGGAATGCAATGGGAATGGTTCTTTATTTTTAGTCTCTGTCTTTGGGCATTTATTCACACCAGCAAGATTAATTTCTGTATCTTACCCTTAACTGCTGGTTGCCAGCCAAAAAACAAAGGCAGTAGCGTTTACCCTAGCCTTTCAGGGCAAGAAGCAAAAACATCTGAATGCAGTCTCCTGAGCAAACTTTCCAGCTGCAAGAGTGCAAAGATTATGAGTCAGGTCCCCTAAACTGGAACACTTTTCTTTTTTTAAGCCTAAAAAGGAAAAGYGTGATTGCTTTTTAATTTTTGACATGGAGAGTTGCACTCGGGTCATGATCTCAAATTTTTCTTACAAACAACAGCGAATAGAAATTTTCTGTTTCTTTGAAATGAAGTCTCATGTGATGCCATGAGCAGGATCTTGGGTAATACCCCCGCTTCCAGGCCCATGAAACGAAATGGTGAACCAGAATTACCACCCCAAGCTCTCCTCCCTTCACTGCTCCGCTGACAGCGCAGCTACATGGGGGAATAAAATATGTTTCTACATCAGACAATGCCCAAGAACAAGAATAGTTACAAATGAGCCATCAGGACACATTGGGGACATATGTTGTATAAAGAGGATGAAGCTATTACACAGCTCAGCGCTGAGTGAATGCTATTCACCCGCCAGTCACATGTGGGGGAGCGGCTGTCTAGGAAAAATAGCATGATTGAGTAATTAGAGGCTGTATCATAAGATGTATGTATAGGGGGATCAAATTAAGGTTGCAAGTGCAATTTTAGTCCAAAGCCTTGCCCCAGAAGACAGCAGCTCTGCTTTAATCAGCAAAGYTGCAAGGAGAAGAGTGGCCTGTTTCTTCCCCCACGAGCGATGTTGCACGACTATAAAGGCAGCGGACCTTCATGCCGCGCTAGCCTTGCTGCACAGCCCGCGATGCCCGAGCGGGGCGGCCGGGGCAGGTGTGCTGTGCCGTGCCGTGCCGTGCCGTGCTGTGCCGGGCCGGCAGCGCCCGCAGGAGTCGCTGGTGCGGAGGCGGCGGGCGCTCGGTGGGATCGGAGGCCGGGGCGGGGCGGCCGGGGTGGGTGGGCCCGGGGCCGGGCCGGGCCGGGCCGGGGGCGGTGGGGCCGGGCGGCGCGCACAAGTCGGCCGCGAGTTGCAGGCGGCCGTCGGCGGAGCGCTGGCTGTAACTTGACACCGGGGCGAGAGGCCGAGCGGAGAGAGGGAAGGAGAGCGGCGGCGGAGGAGGAGGAGAGGAGCCCCAGGGAGTGGGATGGTGACCACCTCCTTTCCCTCCCCTTAGCGGCGCCCCGTAGCAGCAGCAGCAGCAGCAGCGGCCGCCGCCGCCGCAGGAGCGCCGGGGACTCTCGCCTGCCGCGGAGCCGGGGGCAGCCGGCGATGGGGACGGGACGGATCCCCTGAGCTCCCGGGAACTTTCCCCGCCGCGGGCAGCCGGAGCCGGGCAGGCCGATGGAGGATGCGCTTGCCCCGGCGGGCTGCGTGAGCCGGCGGCGGCGAAGGGGAGGATGAAGAAGAAGCAGCAGCACGGCGGCGGGGAATGCCCAGCGCCCCGGCCCCCCGCGGCGGCGGCGGCGGGAGGGGGCCCGGGCCAGGGCGGGGGCTTGAAGAGGCGGCGGCCCCTCTCGCTGCTGCCCTTCCTTTCGCTGCGCGATTACGGCTTCTGCATGGCCGCCCTGCTGCTCTTCTGTTTGGGCTCCCTCTTCTACCAGCTCAACGGGGGGCCCCCGCACTTTCTGCTGGACCTGCGGCACTATCTGGGTAAGGGCGGCCGGCGGCGGCGGGGACTTGTTGCGGCTCTCCCTCGCCCCCGTGGCGGCGGGGCTGGGGCCTCCCCCCGCGCCGGGGACACGGCAGCGGGGCTGGGGCGGCGGGGCTGCCGGCGGGGAGGGCAGGCGGGACGCGGGACTRTGAGCGCTGACAGCGGAGTGAGACGGGCCGGCGGCGCCCCGAGAGCCGAGCATTGGGGGCGCGCCCCGCCACAAGTTCATGCTGGCGAAAGCAGAGTCCCCTCGAGACTTTCTCAGACCCGAACCCGCTCTGCTCCCCGGGGCGGCTCTTTGTGTGCCCGGTGACCGTGGCAGAGCGCGGTGTGCCGGCTCCTCTGRCCGCCCGGTCGGTCCGAGGCGGAGCGGAGGGCAGAGCTCGCTGCCCGCGGGTCGCTCACCGGGGCAGCTCGGGCGCAGCCACCCGAAGCTGTCAGCGCCACCCCGTGCTGTGCCCCGGACAAGAGGAGCGGGGTACGGCTGGCCCACAGCAGGAGATGCTGTTGTGAAAAAAAAGAAAAAAAAAGAAAAAAAAAAAAACAAAAAAAAAACCCCAGATGCACTTTGTGAACCAAGCATCCATCCTTCCATCCTTGTGCAGCAGGTTTGCGTCTGGAGAGAAGGGTGTGCTAGCAGGGTCAGTACAGCAGCGCTGAAAACACTCGATCTCGCTCTGGTGCTTAGCCAGCCTGGTTGCCTCTGCAACCCTGAAGGAGATGCCCTAGTGGAGCGGGTACAAGCCCCACGCTGTGGGCCTGAACTTCTCATCCCCACGCTGACCACAAGTTTTCACATTGTTTTTCTTTGTAGCCTTTTCCACATCGCTGAATGTTGCTTCCTTGCTTAACAGAGAAGTTGTGTGAAAAAGAGTTTATCATGAGGTTGAGTGGTACSGTAGACTGGCAGGACTAGTTCAGGTGTTGGTAGGACAAGGGGGAGTGACTTTAAACTGAAAGAAGTCAGATTTAGTTTAGCTGTTAGGAAGAAATTCTTCTCTATGAGAGTGGTGAGGCACCAGAACAGGTTGCCAGGAGAAGCTGTAGGTGCCCCATCCTTGGTATTGTTCAAAGCCAGGTGGGATGGTGCTTTGAGCAACCTGGTCTAGTGGAGGCCATGGCAGGTTTAGATTGGAAGGGACTTTAAAGACTATTTAGTTCCATTCTGTGATTCTGTGATATGAAATAGGCAACAAAAACTGAGTGTTTCTCAGTATAGGAGAATTGCTACAGAATAATTTGTGGTGCAAGTTTTTACCACATTAGCTGCATTGCTTTTCTTGTCTGCGAAGTTAAGTCTTCTGTGGTACATGCTATAGAAGCACAAGCCATAATAGACAATGTTAGGTTGCAAACAAAAATACAGTTCATGTATTTCAGACAAGGTTGCAAAACGTTTTCTCTGTGTACATCTTTTATGAACACCTTGAGAATACAGCTCTGCATGTGTGCGTGTTGCTCTTCTTTACTGGAAGACTATCCCACGTCTTCAGTTAAGAGAGTATGGAGAGGCAGTAGGACAAGAGGCAACAAACACAAGTTGCAACAAGGGAAATTCCAGTGAGATATCAGGAAAAAATTTCATTCTGAGAGGAGTCAGATGCTGAAACAGGCTACCCAGGGGTCTTGGGATGTCCTTGCAGATACCCAGAACTCAGCTGAACAAGCCCCTGAGCAACCCAAGTCAATTTGTCCCTGCTTTGTTGGGGGAATAGAACAAGGACAACAGAAGTCACTTCCAGATAAWGTTACTATGTGATTCTGCTGTAAAAACTCAGTGAAAATTCAAGTGAAAACTGGGATATCACTTTGGATATTACTTCGCAAATGCAACAGCAGTTTTGGCTTGAGTTTTAATGACTTTTTTTCCTTTAATATTACAATTAGGAAGAAATTCTTCCACTGAAGAAGAAACTGACAAAATTTCCACCTTAGAATCATAGAATTGCTAGGGTTGGAAGGCATCTCTGGAGATCATCTAGTCCACCTCTCCCCCAAGGCAGGGTCGTCTTGAGCAGGTCTGCACAGGAATGTATCCAGGTGGGTTTTGAATGTCTCTGGACAAGGAGACTCCACACCCTGCATGGGCATCCTGTTCCAGTGCTCTATCACTCTCAACATGAAGAAGTTCTTCCTTATGTTGGGGTGAAACTTCTTCTATGGCCACTGCTCCTCGTCCTGTTGCTGGGCACCTTGGAAAAAGGGTCTGGCACCATCCTTTTGGCACCCATCTTTGACATATTTCTATGTATTAATGGCATCCCCTCTCAATCTGCTCTTCTCTAGACTAAACAGGTCCAGCTCACGCTTTTAGAGATTTTGTTTACGATATATTGGTATTTTAGTGGGATTAAACACAATCTCTGGTTTTCAGAGGAAAGTTTTTGTCAATTAAAAAAATTGTAATCTTCATCAAGGATAGTTGTTGCTTAGCTTGGGAAGGAACAGACTGCAAGAAACACAGGGTTACTCAGCTTCTCACTTTGTGGCCTTTTGACTGCATTTGAGGGATAGGGGAAATAAAACTAAGATCTACTACCCACTCTAGCTAGTAGTTGCATGTCTGCTGGAAAATCTTCTGAGGCCTGCAGATGAAAGGCTTGGAAACCACTGCGTCTTGGAGAATGGATTATGATGATTTTTGTGAGGTGCTCTTCAAGTGCAGAAAAGCCTTTGTTGTGTGTGCCTGAACGTGATGAGCCTCTGGGGACGGAGTGCAGTCTTACTGAAATGTTTTGGGGTTCTTTTGAAGTGTAGGATTCTTGCARGAGAAAGTAGACAGATCTATTCATCTTTGTTAATGAACCTCTGCACTTGTTATAAGAATTAGTATAGGAATTTCCTTCCTGTGCTTGTGTTGATTGGATGTTAAGGGTTGGCCTAAAATCCTGCACCAGGCCAGTGGCTGAGAGGGAAACAGTCCCTGTGGCTGGAGTCCTAGTACCCAGTAAGCCATCTGTGCTGCTGCCTCAGCAGGCAAGCGGAACGTACTTTGGRTACTAAGGTGTCTGTTTGCATGCACCTTTATAAAGGTACTTTATACTTCCTTGGTCTACAGTTTCATTTGGGTTGTCAAACTTGATCCATGTGGGTGTCATTGCTAAACATTTTATTTTAAAATAATTTTTTAACTCAGTATAAGTTTTACAAGAATGGTCATACTCCCTGAGGTGTCCAGCTGGGAAGGCTTGCAAATTAGGAACAATTTTTTTTTTTTTTTTTTTTTTTTTTAATTTTTTTATATTTAAAAAATTTTTTTTTTTTTTTTTTTTTTTTTTTTTTACTAAAAGGCTCCTTGGTCTACCAGGGAGCTAACAGAACTGCTTGGACCAATAGGTATTGGACATCCAATACTGCTAACTACCAAAGCCCTGTAAATGTGTGTTTTATACAGCAGTCGAAGTTCCATGATATTAAAAAAAAAAAAATTAAACTTTTTTTCCTCTGAAGCCACAGATCCATTGTACAAGCAGCTCTTTCTTTGTAGTTCTTCCAACCCACAAGTTATGGTGTTAAAATTTACATCTCCAAACGAAAATGACCAGTTAGTTTTTAAACGGCGTTTGCAATGTGTGCATTTTGCAGTTGCCCTCATTGTATTTAAAACTACAAAACCCAAGAAGAAGTAGCCTAAAGGGACTATTGGTTTCTCTGTTTAACTATTTTGTTCCTCCATAGTGTGGGGGATGGGTCATCATATTTGACTTCAGGGTTTTTATTTGTAGTTGCATGTTTCAGTGCATGTTTAGTTATGTTACTATGGAGCAAATGCTTGGATTTTTTTTACCTTAGAACTTGAAAGGAAGTTTCTGAGTAACAACACAAAACTTCAGTAGTGGTCAGGATAGAAATCACACCTGCATCAGGCAGGTGTATGCATAAAAGAAAATCCAGACAGTGTGAAAACACTGAGATTGAAAATTTTTTTTCTTCTGAGGCCTGCATCATATGCTGTGGAGGAGGTATACATTTATTTTCAAAGGAACAAAGTGTTAAAGTTTGCTAGTTCTATTAACTTTCCTTTGGAGGTGGGGAACATGAGTGTGTTTTCAGAATATTCAGAGTCTTAGTAATTTTTTTGTTCTCTCCCAGGCCAGCTTTTCTGGTGTCTTCTCCATATATGCCTCCCTTTTTGTTTGGTTGCCATACTGATTGGAGAGAATCTTGGAAAAATATAATGTCAGTTTGTAGGGTAGACAATAGCTGTATTCAGTATTTCCACTTTGCCTCAACAACTCTACTCTTTTATACCAGAGTCATCCAGAGCATGTGAGAGTAGAGTAGTAGATAGGAGGCTGTGTTTTGTTATTTGTCCTGTTCTAATGTCAAGTTTATAGTAATTCAGAGTACAGAAAGGTCTGTAGAAAGCTAGTGGTTTCTGCTGTCTGTTCTGGATGTGGCTCACAATGACATGGCTCAAGTTTCGCACTGGATCAACCCACCAGGAGGGGTCTAGGGTCCTGTTTGTCAGCATGAAATTATTGGGGAGGGCATAGACATTGGTGGATTATTTCTAAAGAATCTGTGGAAGATACTTAAAAGCACATCTGTCACCAGTAGGCTTAAATTTGCCATGTGCATACCACTCCTGGACCATTTATGAGCTCCAAAAAACAGGAAGGTTTAAAAACTGCCAGGCTTTCCAGTAATGAACTGCAGTATTGGGACTTGCACAAATGAGGTCTTTGCCTGTTGATTCTGCCAAGGTAATCCTGGCTCACTGGTTGGAAAACCAATTCCAACAGCAGGAGGAAGTGAGAGGAGTCTTCCCTTCGATGAGTAAGACACAAATCATAAATCTTGGACAGCCCGATGGCTTTTGGGGAATGCACTAGGGACTCCACTCCTCTACAACTGCTGTGTTTTGCATTGCTTTATTCTTCCCTGCTTTGACCTGTGATATATATGTACTTCAGATTACAGAAATGAGAATTTCCAAGGGCTGGTAGCAACCCTCTAACAGCCAATAAAAAAATAAAAAAATAAAACCTTTGCATCT